TGTATACTCCAGAGCTTCTAGGGCCATGCTTTTCCACCTGTATACCAGATAAAAAGAGGGAACTCATTTGTAAAAAGGGGAAAATGGGCACAAACACAAGAGATGAATATCAGAGGGGAAAACCTAATGATATTTGAGGCTTTGATTTCAATTTTTTCCAGTGGTTCAGATGCATCCTTGCCCTTAAGCTATGTGAAAAATCCCCCCAAAAAGGCCTTTTTTATTTCTTATTAAAGCCAGTTACAATGATTTTCTGTTACTTCAACAAAAAAAGCAGCCTAAATACAGAGATAATGTACATAGGATCTAAGTCCCACAGATTTTCAAGTCCCTAAAGTAAAAAACCAAACCCAGAAGAGACTGAAAGGCTAGGGAGGGAAAACAGCAGAGGAAGTCAAGAAGGAACAAGCTAAAGCAACCCCAGCTTCATTTGGTCCTCACAGTTACATGCTTCCTTCCTTCCAGGCTCCTCTGCTTCTGCTGTCACCCAGGAAGGAACTGAGCCCATAGTAGGGAACAGGATCTTTGATTCTAGTGACCTCTCCCGAAGAAAGTGAGACACACATCAGTCTCAGCACCAATAACTACACTTTTATGGTAACTAGATTAAAATTCTCACTTTCATCCTTTAAATTTTCAGAAATTCCAAAGACTCTAGTATTCAGTAAGGGTAGGATAGCTACATAAGAACTGATGTAATGTAAGGAGGAACCTGAAAGATGGGATGATGACAAACTCTAGGGTATGCATTTTACCAGGCAGCATGTGGTTGGCCCTGCTCTTTTGTTCCTCTGCTACAGGAGTGCTGACATCCCAAATGGAGGGTTCTCTGTAAATCTAAACTCCAGAGTATAGATGACGTGGAGCAGGCTGCAGCTGGCCCTATGTGGACAGGTAGTGTGAGCATGTAGCCTTTGAGATTTGGAGGTCTTTTGCTGCCACCATATAATCTATCCTATTCTGTTTTATGCACATATCTTGCTCTATATTGGTTTCATAAAGGCAGCCCATGTCTTATTTGATTTGTACCCCAGCACCTAGCAGAGTATCAAGCACAAAATAAACACTTAGGTAATAACAAATGAATAAAACCATTCTGGATTTCATTTGTTCACTAATATTCTACAAGGTATCTTCAAATGTGATCTCTGTATTTTCGAAATAAAAGATTCTGTGTTTGCTTCTGAAACGCCCACACACCAAAGCTTCATTTCAAACTAAATTTTCTCTTCTAGTAAAAAGTTTTTTTACATGGCTGTATTTGCTTATAGCATTGTAGGAACTGCCTAATATTTTTAAATCCTAGTGCAATCAGCCCATATAGGCAAGAAATTAAACACTAAAATGCCTTGTCTGTCTCTGAGTGATGTCTCCCACCTCCACTCACTATTGGTGCTGACTTAGGCAAGTATGCCTGCTGCTCAAAGACCTTCCGAAATTACCTCCAAGAATGAAGTGCTTTGAGAATGAGGCTTATAATTAAACAGTAAATAAAGCTTCCTGTAGTTTTATGCACAGGTCCTATTTAACGCCTAAGTAGATGAACTGTTTGGTTTAAAAGTCCAAATGAAAATAGGTGTTTGTACAAGTGAGGTCTCTGCTCGGCAACCTTGCTTTCTTTAGGCCCCAACCTCAGTTCCAGCACTATTGTCAGTACACCTGACCAACACTAATGTGACTACTAATTAAGACATGTCAACGAGGCTGGATTAAGAAATACCTAGTAAATTGGTTGTGGTGCTGCACACTGTGGGAGGCTGAAGGAGGATCGAAAGTTTGAGCCCTGCCTGGGCAACTTAGTGACTTAGCAAGATTCTGTATCCATATAAAAAATAAAAAGGGCTTGGAATGTAGTTCAGTGTGAAGGCCCTGGGTTCAATCCCCAGTATCACCAAGAAAGAAGGGGGAGGAGGAGGAGGGAAAGGATGGAAAAAAAAAGAGAGAGAGAAAAAGAAAGAAGAAATGCCTAGCAGATTAATCAAGTACAGTTTTGAGTGTCTGTGGGTTGTTTCCAGAGATGATTGGCATGTAGACCAGCAAAATGAGAGGGAAGATGCATCCCAGTTGTGGGTGGCACCAACCAATAGCTTGGATGAAATAAAGGAAAAGAAGGATGTTGGTATACATTTTTAAGTGCTTCTGTCTGCTTGAGCAAGTGCATCTTTTGCTGTCATCATTTTTGTACACCAATCCCCAGTTTCTTCAGCCTTTCAGCACAGACTCATAAAGGTAACTCTCCAGTGAATTTCTAGTTCTTCAACCGGGACCAGTGCTGCATCCTTGATCCCTCTGGTTCTGAAGTTTCCATCATCTTGGTCTTAAGCAGCCACTGTAACCTGTGATCTCTAGCACACAGGTGGCATTGTGGACTCTCCCTCCTCTGATCCTATAAGCCTGCCTTGCATAATTATACATATATTTTCTACTGATTCTGTTCCTCTAGATAACCCTACCCAATACAACTGATATAAGCTCAACCCTGCAGAAGTAACTGCCAGAGAAACATACATAGTATTGAAATAGACCTAAACTAGCTCCTCCTCAAAAAACATTGGTTCCATAAGGAGTTAAAACCCAGGAAAGTAAACAGTATGTTCACAATGCGGCCGGGGGGGGGTGATCAAAGAGTTTAGAAGATAATAACTATGATTTGAGTGACTCATTGCCTGTACATTTTTAGGGAGAGAAAGGAGTACAGAACAATTCCAGATACCTTCAGTTGTCAAAGGAGAGTCAAATGAGAAAGAATGTCTGGAAATTATGATGAGTTAAATTCCTGTCATGTTGAGTGTGTGGGGTCTCTATACCATCCAGACAGCAATATGAAGTAAACATGAATATTATAGATCTGAAACTGACAGAAGAGGACAAGCTAAGGAGATTTGATAGCCATTAGCCTAACCAGGCTGTTTGAAGCTATTATACCATAAGAAGGAAGAGAAAGGAAACCAGGAAAGGAGAGTATTTAGAACAGAACTAGTAAAAAATCAAGAGATCTGTTAAAAATTAAAATAAAAAGAGTTTAGTACCTTCAAAAAAAGAGTAAGTACCTTCAAATGTGTGATAAGATAGTGGGGAGGATTGGATTAGAATGACATCAGTAAAGGCAGGGGAAGAGGGGGTTTCAAAATGGGAAAGATGTTCAACATTTGGAGCACACACAAGTTGCTTTCCCAGTGTTCATGCTCCCATTTTTGCTCACTAACAAAGCCCTAACTTTCCTACCAAGAGCACATCATCTGGCTAGTTACAAGGAGATGCCTATTTGGTGGGGTTCATAGAAATACAAGTATTTTCCTGATACAAATGGCCAAACATCTGGCACCTCTCTTTTGCCTTTCTTTCTTTCTTTCTTTCTTTCTTTCT